CACGTGGGCAGCAGACTCCACAGCTACCAATCAAGGCTGTGTTCTCCGTCCATGACATTCAGTCCACATGCCAAGCCCTCTGTCCATGATCCAAGCAATCTGGGCAACTTATTGTTTTTCCTCAAGTTGTGCCTCATTGAAATTCTTTTTGGAGTGTCCCTTTCAGTCACAAGTTCTCTCTTGTCCAGAAGCCAAGATCGTGAAGCTTAGTGTAGCAGGGCTTTCCGAATGTGTGCGGCGGGCTTCACCTCCAGCTGCGGTGCCCGAGCTGGCTCACCTGCCCCGTCCTGAGCAGCTTCCCTGGCTCCCCCAACATGGAGAGCAAGTTCTCGTTCACCTGTTCCTCTTGCTCATTTGGTCTCCTCCCCCTCAGGTTACTTTCAGCAAGATTTCAGTTTGGTTTTTATGCTATTGCATTCAAGGGAGGGCAAAGCCTTTTTGAATCTGTTTTCAAATGTGTTCATTTTTAAGACAGAACGTCATTCTCTCTGAGTTTTTCTTTTAGGTTATCATGACAGAGGTCAAAAATCGTGGGGACTAGCCCCCAAGGGATTTAATCTTAACTTTCTCCACAATCAGCCATGCCTACTCATATATTCTAGGATATTGGTAAAAATTCTTGCTAAAGGAGGTGGCCAGAAAAGTCCTTATTCTTTAGCCAAATTCTGGATGAGAGGATAAGGGCTCCAAATTTGGGCACAACCAGGTTTCAATGTCTATTACCCTTCTTCTGTTCTTCTAATTGGCACTCACTGTAAGTGCTCAGTGGTAAAAACACAAGCCCTCATTTTCTTCTTCGTTCTTCCCTTACAATGAAGGGTTTGTCCCTCCTCCTTTCAAAGGCAAATTCATCCACATGTGTTCTGGATCCCACTCCGTCCTGCCTTCTCAGAGAGTCTGTTCAGTTGGTTATTACCTGCAGCTGAAATGACCGTCCTTCTAAATTCAGGCTTCTCCTTCCACAGCATATGGTGGTGGCTAGAAAGTCGCCAGCCAGCCAGCCACACACCCTGTTCCCCAACCTCCCTTACCTTTAGGTGAGGCCACATGATGAGTTCTTGTCAATATAATGTGATCAGAAGGGATGTGGGTCACTTCTTGACCAAGCGACTTAAGAAGCAGGAGTGGTTCTTCTCCCTTCTGCTCACTTGATAAAAGGGGCACAGTGAACAGGGACCGCAGATACTAAAGAGGAGGGAGGGTTCCACAAGACGGCTGGAGCCTGGGTCTCTGAATCTTCAGTCGGAGGGTCCCACCTGCCATGAAGAGCTTCTGTCGGAAGAGCTTTATGTGTCTGACCTATTGTATATTGCTGGATCCTTTTGTCATAGTGTTATTGTTAATCGTTACCATAACTAGCACATTATTTTTCTTTTTTTATTATTTTATTTTATTTTATTTTATTTTTCTTCACAGGTGGAATCTACATGCATTCAGACATAACCAAGCATCTCCCATCTTACAACCAACACCAGGCCCCCTAAAAACCTTCCTTTGACTCCATGCTCCTGCTTTGTTTTGTTTCTCTTTACTTCCTCTCACAGACAATTGTTCTAGGAAACCTGTCAATGCAAAGTCTTCATTGCTTGCTTCCATTCATTCCTTACTCCAATCGATATGGCTTCTTTGCCACCCTCCATTAAAGCTGCTCTTGCCGGAGTCCTTAATAACTGACATGTTTCTAAATCCAGCAGACAATTTTTGGTTCTTATTGTAATTCTCGGGATTTTACCTAGTGGGACACTCCTGCCTTCACTGCATACTATCTTCTCTTGGTCCCTTGAAACCAATCTCTTACAGGAATGACTCACAGGCTTTTAAAATTCATCATATCCAAAACCGACCTTCAACTCCGGCTCCTCTGTCTTCCGTCTCAGTAAATGGTATTTGCATCCACCCAGCGGCTCATGCTGGAAACCTGAGGGTGATTTTTGGTACGGCCTTCTTTCTCACCACTCATAGCCAATTAATCATCATATCCTGCCCATTTCACCTCGTTTTTCTCAAGAGTAGCTACTCTCCATCTCCAATCTTCCCCACCATCCCTTCCATTCTCCATATATATAATTACAAACATAAATCAGATAATGCCACTTTCCTTTTAAAATCCTTCAGAAATCGTTACTAGAAAAAAAGAAAAAGAAAAAAGAAAATAAATCCTTCAGAAAATTCCCACTGCACTTAGGATAATTCCCCTAATCCCTAACACAGCACACAAACCCTCGTGCGATCTTGCCTCTGCAATGTCTTCAGCCCTATCCAGCGCTCCCTTCCCTTTGCTCGTTGCATTTCAGCGTCTCTCCCGAATCTTGAAATCAGCCATTTCTTTCCTACCTCAGAACTTCTCTCACTGCAAGAACAAAAAATCAACTCGAACAAACTGAAGTAAAAAGGAAATATAGTAGCTCATGTAAGTGAGGCACCTGATAAGCAGCTGACTTCAGGCATGACTTATTCCAAGAGCTCAGGTTACGACCTTAATACCCCATGGCTTCATTTCTCAGCTCTGCTTATTTTTGATTCCTTCTTAACATGCACTGTCACCATGCCGGCAAGATGGCCACTGTCAAAGATGTCTAGTTGTGCTTTGAAAAATTAATCTTACCGAAAGAGAGGTCTGGACTTTTTCGTCAGCTTCTGGGAGGTCATCTCTAAGCCCTTGGTAGGTCGTACTTGATAAGAGAGTCTCTGTTTGCCTGGGGGCCATCGGCCAACCAGACCATAAGAAGATGAGTTAGGGTGGGGCGGGGAGTTGAGCAAAATCAGCAAGGTGATTCAACCTGGAGACTCTGAGTCAGGTGCCATCTTCTGACCTCTGGAGACTGAAATCAGCCCTGAGTTCAATCAGTCATGCTGAGGTGATGAAGCCCCAGTAAAAACTCTGGACACTGTGTGTGTGTTGTTACACATCGAGGCCAAGGGAGCCGTGCTATCCAAACTCCACGGGGAGAGGACAGCGGGGAGCTCCAGGTGTGCTACCCTCCTGGCCAATGTGCCTTTCCCTTTGGCTGACTGTAATGTGCATTCTTTCCTTGTGATAAACTGTAATCGCGAGTACAGCTGCTTTGAGTGAGTTGTTTGAGTCCTTCCAGTGAATTATCAGAAGTGAAGGTAGTTTGGGGAACTACCACATTTGGTGTCAGAAGTGAGGGTAGTCTTGTGTGGACTACACTCCCTCTCACTGTCCAGTGTGCGAACACTCACGTTATTAAACATTCTTAGCTTAGTAGCCACAGCTAAATGGTTCTGTTTCTTTTGATGTTCTAAAAGAAAAGTTCCAGGGAGCCTCTTAGCTAGCTTGCTTGAGACAAACCGATCACCATTGCCTGGGAAGGAGAGTGCTGTGATCGGTCTCAGATAGCTAGTAGAATCTATCAAAACAACAGGAAATGAGTTCCCCACGGGAGAAAAGGTTTGGGTTACCAAAAGGAAGGATAGGGGTGCTGGGTGAACAAACACAGTAGTTCGCATGGGACTTTCACACCAGCATCTCCCTCTGGAACACCCTGATTCTTATTCATCTCCCCCCGCCACACACTTTCGAATGACTAATCTTTCTACTGACTAATCTACTCATCATCTGGGTTTCAGATTAAATGTCACTTGAACAGAAAGGCCTCCTTCTTTCATTCCTCTCCATCAGAATGTTTTATAGGTCTTAGCAGTTTGTGATTACATATCCATTTGTGTGATTGCTAGTTTAATATCTTCAAATTACCTTTAATCTAGGGTGTGTTAAGAACCACATCTAGTCTGTTCATCACCTAGTAGGTCCTCAAAAATAGCAGTGGAAGGAGCAAAATAAGAATGAAAAAAATCTGTTAATGGATTGCCCACATCTCAGATCTTATGCTAAACCCTTCAAATGGTCCTTTTTAGTAAGATGTCAGTAGAGGACTATCTGGTTAAACTGTGGACTCAGTTGTTGGAACCAATAAAAGAAACTTGCCTCAATTTTGCAGTTAGGAATTCAAGAACCGCATGACCTTCAGAAGTAAAAATTATTAGGCATATCAGCCTCATCCTCATTTACTAAAACTAAACATGTAATGTTTGTATGGAAATGCGTCTCTCGATAAGCTGATACAACCTCCCGTCCCATCTTGTAGAGTGTTTGCATCTGATTTTAGCCACAAAATAACCCATTGAGATAAGTAATGCAGGCGGGTGTTTCTTTGATCTTACAGATGAAAAAAAAAAAAAAAAAAAGCCTGAGAACCAGAAAGGTAAGATAAATTACTCATGATCACATGGAAAACCTAGTGGTCAAAACAAGATGATTACTCAGCAATCCTGAAGCCTAGTTCTATTCTCTACCAACCCAATGTTGTTCATCCTCTGTCTCACTGACGATACACACTGCTGTCCCCTACAGTTGTAGAATGTGTCGAAAGTCACAGTAATCAATGTAGTAAATTTGAATATGAGCAAACTTATGATTTTTGCCTATTTTGTGGACATTTCTGATTATTGGGGCTGTAAGCATTCTTCATAACACTCCCTTTTAGTTAGGAACTTTAGCCTCATTCTCGAGCCAGTGGTTCTAGTGATTTTTCTCATCCCCAACCCAGAGGTAATTTGGCCAACGAGAGCCCAATATTCTCTAGGCTCGAGTTTGGGTAAAGGGATGACACATGGCCCATAACAGGTTTTAAGATTCCATGACCTCTTTGCTAAGGCTTTGGGATAGGAACACTCATTCTCAATAGGCTTGAACCTGAGACAATATAAAGTTGGAGCTTCTGCACTCATTTACTTCAAGTGGAAAGCAGAGCTGAGAGATAAAGAAAAACCATATCCTAACAATACCTTCTGAACCTTGACTCTAGAGCCCACATGACCCCTGGATTTTTAGCTATATCACCTGATAGATTCCTTCTCTTGAATAAGTCAGTTTGAGTAGGATTCTGTCTTTACCATTCAGAAAGTTCTTAACTAAAATATCCTATAATTTTGGGGAATCCCAGGGTCCCCGCAGCAGGGCAGCCCGCGGGCCCAGTATGGGATTGCATTGCTGCAGGGTGGGAGCTGGACCCATTGCCAAGAAGCTTGTAGAGGCCAAGTATAAGGAGCGAGGAACTCTCTTGGCCGAGGCCCAGCTGGCCCAGATGTCCACGCAGTTGGGCATGTTCAAGACCAACCTGGAGGAATTTGTCTGAGTTCCCGGTGCAGTTCCTGGACACATGTGTCGCCCTTGGCGTGGATCGGCTCCCCTCCGGAAGAGGATTTTGGTCTGCGTTGGGGGGTGAGGGAGCTCTCGGTTGCGACCTGGGGATCCAGAAGATGGAAGCATGTGTGGCCCCGACGCCCAGGAAGGGAGGTCTGTTCACTCTGGAGGGACTACAGCAAGACGCGTCCAAGGGAAGGGGCCGATTCGCCCAGGATGTCAGCCACGACCGTTTGATCAGGGCCATGAAGAATCTAGAGGCACCCGGCACTGGCGCAGGTGCCCCCGCCTTCGGTCGGCGCCAGCTGAGCTCAGTGCCGACCGCCCCGCCCCGCGGAGCCGCAGCCGGCAGGGAGGGATGGCTACGTGACTGTCGGGGATATCAAAGCCCGTCTCAGGCGGGAGGCCACGCGCTGGGGCACCTGCCGAAGGAAGGGCCGGCCCGCCTGGCCCCTCGGGCCCTGCGGGAGGCTCGCCACGGGCTGCCAGCTCTCTTGGCAGACCCCCTCCTTCCAGGCCATTACTGCTGAGGCCAGAGAAGCCCTGCCCTGACCCTGGGGGTGTAGAAGGGGGCATGGTAGCAGGCAGGGAGAAGACAGACTAGCTGTCTGTGAATAAGCCCTAACAGCTTTGTTTTTTGTTTTTTTTTTTGTTTGTTGGTTTGTTTTTTTAAAGAAAAAAAACAACAACAACATATCCTACAATAAAGAATTCTCATTCAATTGTCTTCCCATACAGTCTTGATGGGGAGAGGAAGAAAGTGTGGTTACAGCTATTTCCTGCAGAATGGCATTGTCTGTAACAATAGATCTGGCTCCCAAACCCCCAAACAACGCCCCCCCCCCCCCCAAGAAAATGAGCAAGAAGTCACTTTACTAGAATTTAGTTGCATGTTCCCTGTCTCCAAAGAGCTTTATTTGGTGCCATTCTTCTTCGGGTTAGTGATGAGAGGATACCTCCTCTCACCCCTTGGTCAGACTTAATCCCTCTTACACTGCCAGCTGGTAGGCCTTCCAGAAATCTCCCCAATGAGGTTTGATGCTCTAGATGGTCTTAACACAGCTGAAATGCCCTCTAGCTATCTATGTCTACACCTTCCGCCTTTCTTTCAAATGTCACTGCAAATCTGTTCCAGGAAAAACTTGCTGCAAGTCTTTCCAATCTTAGGGTAAACTCTCCAGGTGCCATCTATTTGCAAAGAAATACACCTGTCCAGAAGTGGAGCCTAATTAATGACTTGCTTTTCTGATTGCCAGCTTCACAGACCCAAGAACAAGGGGAAATACTATAGGAATTCTTTTAAGGTCAGAAGAATCTAGTATACAGAACCATTTAGTTGGCAATAATAGTTTCAGCACAAGGTGTTTTTAGATTTTCTTTTAAAAATTCAGTGTTTGGTATCTCCCAGGACAAGATGAATTTAGCTATGCCTTGGTTGGTGACTCTAGAAACTACTTTTTATTTGCCAAAGTGATGAATGTTTCAAACTTGAAGGGAGCTAACATTGCCTAGTTGTATGTCATATTGCCAATAGATGATAGGAACATAACGAATGGTAAGGATTTGGTAAAACTTTTTCATAATGAGCATTTTTAGGACTTTTTTTTTCTATTTTTAGGACTTTGAATAACACATTGTGAGATTGGACTATTTCTCAAGAGATCATATCTTTTAAAGGGAGTAGGGACTGAAGAATGGATACAAGCCAATCCCTTTGATGCGTGCATAATACAGGATACTAATACCTAAACCATATATGACCAAACATGTGGAGCCATGTCATTTTCTAAGCTCAACAAAAATAAAAGGGAGGATTGCCTGTGTTATTTTTTTCCACAATGATTCTTAGAATATGCATGAAAATAGGAATCCTAAAAGAGTAGTCAGTATGGTGTACCGCAGAAAATACTCTGGGCTCTGAGTTAGGGAAGCTAAACTTTGGCCCAGGCAGCTCTCAGCAAGCCCATTGTCTTGGGTCTCCCTCATACATAAAATGGAGGATTGCATAACTGCCAAGAAAGCGTCCACCTGTAAACTTGGGTACTAAAACAGAGAACCTGTTGATTGTAATTCTTGTCAGTTTCAGTTCTGATCTAAATACAAAATGAGGATCTTCAAAGAACTTTGAAGATGATCACGGTAGCTAAAATGAATTGAGCTGGAAGAAAAGGAGAGCCTTAATGTCAATATTCTCCATTCACTCACTCACTCACAAATACTTTTGAGCACTTAATAAACATTGAGCACTATAAGAGGTGCTAAAGGTAGAGCAATAAATACACCAACGTCCTAGTCATCATAGAGCTAACTTTCTGGAGGTGAAGATGCATCACAATCAAATGAATATGTACAGAGAAAGCGTGTCAGAAGGTGACAAGTGCTACGTAGGAAAGCAGAGCAGAGAGGGAGCGCTCGCGATGGCCCTTGTTTATAAGGTGGCCGTTTGAAGAGAGACCGAAAGGAGGTGAGACAGTAAGTCAGGCTATTTCCTACCTAGGAATAGCAAGTGCAAAGGCCCTGAGGTGGGAGTGTTTGACATGTTTTAGGAGCAGCAAGGAATCCTGTGTTGCTAGACCACCATGAGCAAAGTGAAGAGTGGTAGAAAATGAGGTCCGAGGAAAGGAAAAATAACAAAAGAAGCTGAAATGTTCTGTTTACTTGAGTATAAATCCCCGCACCCCCTTATCTGTGGCTCCTTTGCTATTAACATTGATCCGCTGGTTCAGTCTAATGGTAACATCTGCTCAGATTTGAGTGGGATCAGAACCCAAGACTCACCATCACTACTGGCCAGACATGGACGTTGTTCCTTGGAGAGTAGAGCTGTGTTTCTTTCATTTTCAGCAAAGTTTAACTTACTTTATCTCAGGGACTTCTGTCCTTCCTTTGCTGTAGGGGGAAGCCCTGTTGTACGCCTGCTAACTGACTCAGGTGTGGTGGGTGTGGGGTAACAGGTGCCCCTTCCAACATCCCTCGCGTGTGTCTTCTGATACCAGAGACTGGAAATCTAAGAGCTACCTGTTGCGGACTCTTCTGGAGCTAGATTTGGGATGTGACATGATCTCCCCTGATGAGTGCACTCGTGGCCCTCAGGTCACAGTGAGGCTTTGCACTTCTTTCCCCATCTCTGCGATCCAGCAGGCTTTTCTGAGGTACATCCCAGCGTCTGGTCACCAGAGTCACCAGTGTCACCAGGGCCCAAAGGCAGTTACAAAGGCGGCCGCAGCAAAGGCTTTCAGAGCTGTGTTAGGACTTTCGTTTGTCCTGGGCACTCCTGCCTCAATGTGGTCCTTCCTTGTTAAGAAAATAATAAATCTGTATCCCAGGATTGTACTGAGGGCAAATAGGAGTATATTATTATATACGAAAACATTTAATTCAGCCTAAACGTTCTTTATTTTCTCTGGTTTTAAAAGAATTTTAAGTATTTTTATGGGCTCTTAAAAGTCTTGCAGGCCCTAGACACTGACTACTGGGTCTAACGGGTAAATCCGCCCTGATGGCCTTCGGCCCCCTAGACTACAGCTGAAGTGGTGTGTTCGTGTGGCCCTGATTTCTTTCTTTCTCCACCTTTCTTTCTTTCTTTCTTTTTCTTTCTTTTTTTCTTCCTTCCTTTCTTTCTTTCTTCTTTCTTTCTTTTAAAGATTTTATTTATTTGACAGAGAGAGATCACAAGTAAGCAGAGAAGCAGGCAGAGAGAGAGAGAGGGAGGAAGCAGGCTCCCCACTGAGCAGAGAGCCTGATGCGGGGCTCGATCCCAGGATCTCGAGGTCATGACCTGAGCCGAAGGCAGAGGCTCAACCCACTGAGCCATCAGGTGCCCCAGGAATCCATTCTTCATCTCTTTCCTCCTTCCCTGGCCTGAAGCACGCTGGCCTCTGAAATCACAGTTCTCCGGGTTCCTCCAGCACGAAGGGCTTGCCTTGTTCCACTCCCTTGGATTGGTGGGTGAGGTGCAGCACCGCTTGCCTTCCTCTCTCCGGGGATTTCTCACCCTCCCGCCTCCCTCCTCCCTCTCCTCTGGTCACACGGAGCCCGCGGCCTTCTCAGCTTCTCAGCGCGGAGACTCACGGATCTGTTCGCGCTTCCACAGACGAGGCTGACTCATGCCCCTTCATCTGTCCCCAGTTCCTGACCATCACCTTCGTTGACCTCAAAATCCATGTCAACCTTTCGGATTCCTTGAAACCAGCCGCGTTTCCTGGACTCCGGAGCTCCTTCTCCGGCCCACCGGCGTGGGCAGAACCGCACTCCGGGCTCACGGAGGTCTGCTTCTCGGGTTCCTGTCCCACTCGCAGGAGAGCCTGTCCCCTCCTGCCCCCTGCCCATCCCAGGCGGGGCCTGTCCCCTCCTGCCCCCTGCCCATCCCAGGCCGGGCCTGTCCCCTCCTGCCCCCTGCCCATCCCAGGCAGGGCCTGTCCCCTCCTGCCCCCTGCCCATCCCAGGCAGGGCCTGTCCCCTCCTGCCCCCTGCCCATCCCAGGCGGGGCCTGTCCCCTCCTGCCCCCTGCCCATCCCAGGACGTCTGTCTGCAGCTTCCCTGGCCGCGGCCCCGCGTCACACGATCCATCCTACTTCGTCCACAGACTCTGTTTGCCTTCCCTGCTCCTGGCTTGCTGGAACGACCGGCCCCCTGCGAGCCCCCGTGTCCCAGACGTGACCTCCCGAGACCCCCGGAAACAGACGGGAAGCCACGGGACGCGGGGCTGGACACTGGGCAGATGATCATTGATCCGGCTTCTGGCCCTCACGGCTCCTGGTCCTAGTCCGCCCCTCGTTCTCCCCCGTCTTGCGTTCCCACGTGCCACCGCTTGGGGAGGAAGCTCGTTCTGGGGACGAGGCTCCTGTCCCGCGCCGCGCTCCGGAGCAGCGGCACCGCGCGGGGACCCGGCCGTCCCGGGCGCCTCTCCCCGCCTCAGCCGCCCCTCGCCCCTCGGCGTCTCGCCCAGCAGCCTCAGCCGCCGCCGCACAGCTGTGCCCGCCGGAGCGATCTGACTCGTCTCGGGTGCGCCCCCGACACAGACCCCGAGAGGAGGCCGCGGGGCCCCGGCCGCACCGGCAGGTGAACGCGGACGCGGCCCCGAGGCAGGAAGGCGGGCAGCGGGGAGCGCGGACGGCGGGTTAGGACTGTGCGCCCCGGGGCTCCGTGTCCCTGGAGGTCTCCGAGTAAACCACTACCTCGCGCTCTCCGCGGCCGGGGGCTCTCCCGGGGGCCTTGGCCGACAGGCGCGTCCCTTCGTCCTGCCCTAGTGTGGCCCGAGGCAAACCCCGACCGCAGGCCAAGGGCTGGACGCAGACGGCCACGGGCACGCGCAGTAGCCACAGCACGTGTGCGATGCTCGGCGTCACGGGGCAGGGGTGAGGCACCCGTACCATTCTGGCATTTCCCACCCCCAGCTGTTCCCAGGTCCCCATCCCTTCATTCAGTGCACTAGGTACTCACGGGGACACTGTTTTGTTTATCCTCTTGACCAGGTAAGTTCTCATTGTCTCAATTTTACATAATTTAACATACACAAGTTAAGATGAAG